TAGTGCCCAATTATTTATTATTATTAAACTGGTTCAGTGGGACTTTTATAAAAAGGGCAATACACGCTCAACACCTTTCTTGGTTTTATCTTTTGGCTGATTTAGCCCTCTAGAGGTGGAGATAACCGGACTAGAGAGAGAGAGAGAGTGTAGGAGAATCAAAATTTGGTCTTGAAGGCTTGGAAGTTTGAAGCTACACTCAAGAATTGATCTTAGTTTGGGAGATTAAAGCTCTTAGAATTAAGCTCCAGGGCAAATCCACGAGCCGATCACTGTGAGTAATATCTTAACAAAGATATCTGAATTATGTTGTTGTCCAAATTGCTTACTTCTATGTAAGTCTTATAAGCTCATTGATTCGTTTGGTGGACAATGGTTGTTAGAATAAATGAATGGGCCAGAGGCTGTTTTGATAAGAATAAATGAATGGGCCAGAGGCCGTTTTGATAAGAATAAATGAATGGGCCGAAGGCCGTTTTGACATTAATGAATAGGCCAAAGGCTGTTTTGACATGGATGAATGGGCCAAAGGCCGTTTTGACATGAATGAATGGGCCGAAAGTTGTTTTGACAAGAATAAATGATTAGGCCGAAGGCCGATTGACATAAATGGTTGGGCCAAAGGCCGTTCTGACACAAATGAAAGTTTGACATGCATGAATGGGCCAGAGGCCAGATTGACATGAATGAAAGTTTGAAAGGCCTAAAGGCCAGTTTGAAATGAAAGTTTGAAAGGCCTAAAGGCCAGTTTGATATGGAAGTTTGAAAAGGCCAAAGGCTAGTTTGACACGAATAACAGTTTGACACTAATGAATTGGGCCCAAGGTCGTATGATGTGTTTGGAACCACAATTACTTAACTTACATATGTCTATGTATGTATGTATTAGTAGAAATATAAATTGGGCCCAAGGCCGTTTGGTGTATATTGTTCCAATGTGTATTCTTTATTTGATATTATTCACTGGGCTTTCGCTCACGCCCATTCATGTGTTTGTAGGTGAGCCAAGAGAAGTCCAAACCCAGCCCCAGTGAAGTCTGTATGGAACAACTAAGGTTTTGAAGAGTCAGCCCTTGCGTCTCACGCACGAAACACGTCTTCGCCCTTCTGCCATTCTATGTTATTTTGTCATGTTGGCGAAGACTTTGGTGTACGTCTGTACATAGCTTTGTTTTGGCTGACTTAGATTTGAATGATCCTGTCTGTATAGAACTTTATGTTACTATACTTTTTGTTGTGAGTTATTAACATACGTATGTATGAAATGTTATGATGTGCATATAAGCACGGCTCTATGGACAAAGTTTTAAATTTGCTTCCGTTTGGCCCTTTTACTCTGATGAGTTTTGTCTCACTTGGTTTGAGGCCGTAGGTAATCTCGTGATTACTGGCCGATTATGGCCTTAACCCATAGGGGCAAGTTCGGGTCATGACAGATTGGTTCCACAATTTAAACGAATTGGATTGATTCCAATTTTTCAGGAACTGTAAATAACGGATTGGTTCTGATTTTATCTCAATCCGGTCCAATCCGGACCATGCTCACCCCTACTACAATTAATGAGAATTTGGATCCATTATGCTTTGGGGCGTTTTGAAAACTTGCTTAAAAAGCAAGTTTTTTGGCTTTTTTTTTTTAATTTTTTTTACACACAAAGTTATAAAAAAAAAATCACAAAAAAATTAACCTTATTAGTAAGAAAAAAGGTCATTAAAAAATTTAAAAGTCAATTTTTTTTTTTTATCAATTTTCCAAAACATCACTTTGTATTAGATGATAGAGTTAGGCCTACTGAAGTTCTCAAAAAATAAAATAAAATAAATCTGATTGATGGACTTTCATTTTCACTCTGACTATATGATGTAAGCACAACCTAATTACACCTATAGTGTTGTGATTATTATACTCAAAAACATATATATACAAATATATAAGTCAAAATATAATGCTTCAATATATGTACATATATATGTTGCATATACGTATTTAAGCAATATGCAATTTGCACCCGAACCAACAATAACGGAAAATTCTATTTCTATATACCCTTTTATCTTTGTGCAAATCATATATCAATTTATACACTTAACAAATTTGATACTGAAATTCTCAAAAAATAAAATGAAATAAATCTGATTGATGGACTTTCATTTTCACTCTAACTATATGATGTAAGCACAACCTAATTACACCTATAGTGTTGTGATTATTATACTCAAAAACTTATATATACAAATATATAAGTGATATATATATATAATGCTTCAATATATGTACATATATATGTTGCATATACGTATTTAAGCAATATGCAATGTGCACCCGAACCAACAATAACGGAAAATTCTATTTCTATATACTCTTTTATCTCTGTGCAAATCATATCTCAATTTATACACTTAATAAATTTGAAAAAAAATATTTTATTCAGTACACAACCCTTTATACTAGAAATACTCTCATTTTCATCCTTCCACCACTAACCTTAATCTCTAACCCTAACTAGTCACTGTCACCATCTTCACCATAACCGCCGCTGTAGCCCATCCCAAAATACTACGACGCACTTTTTTCAAACTTTCTATTGCCTATACAACTAGAGAGTTCATACTTGTATTGCACCCTAATTGATAAAATTTATTCTGAAAGATCGAACCGTCTCTGGATAAGTTTTTTAAATGGCTTCTAACCATTGATTGCACTTGTTCATTTTCTACATTAAAGTGGCTTATCTCTCTATATTTATATGGAAACATGCTATCATCAGCAATGCTTGACCTGCTACCACACTGATAGAGTTGTTGCTTGTAACCCAATCTTGAATTCATACCCTTACTGAGGCGATCAAGAAAGGAGGCCAGCAGTGCTGCAGCAACTGGTTAGAGTTAGAAATTTTAAGGTGGCTTGGAAATTAGGGTTTTGGATGTGAAAAATAAAAGGATGTTTTGATATTTTTATTTTAGGATAAAAATGTAATTAATTTTTTTTCCATTAAGTGTATGGAGTGCGGAAACTTTATGTGTGAAAATAGAATTACCCAACAATAACTCACCCAACACTAGCCCTTTAGGGTTGATTTCCGGGTAATTCTATTTACACACCACTAAACCTCTCAGTTGACACTGTATTCTCCTATTTACTCAATTCACACCACACTTAAATTGAAAAGTTTGATTTTATCTGACTACACACCCTTTTTTTTTAAATAATACCAAACTACCCTCCCAAACCCTAACCATAACCTTAATCACTAGCACCATTGGTAGCCGCCGCCGCCGCCACAGTAGTTATAACTTCTCGCCTTCGGCCGTCGTCCCCCTACCACTCTTCATTCTCCCACTCTGTCGTTGCTGCCCGCTTTCCCATCTCTGCCATCAGCCCTATTTTACCTCTCACACCCTAACATTAGATCTCTCTCTCTCTCTCTATCGTCGCACGGTGGTAGGTCACAACTGTGTGGGTTGCATAGCAGTGGTTGCAAAGGCGATGAGTGGTAGGGCAATAGAATTGGAGGGTTGCGATAGTGGCCAAAGAGGGAAGTCGTCATCGTGGTTGCTCGGGGACAACAGATGGAGGTCAAAAGTCGATCACATCAACCATCGCATCTGCCATAGCTAGCCTTCTCTCTTGTCATTTTCTTCTTCTTCAAACCTTAGATCTATGTTTTCCAGATCTCTCAATTGGTTATGGCTGTGGAGATTGTTGGCAATGGTGATAGTCGGCGGTGGAGATTAGGCTACGATGGTAGTGGGAAAAAGGAGTCGTGGTGGTGGTGGTTAAGGACGACAGCCGAAGGTGGAAGAGACTGGTGATGATGGTATGTGTTGAGAGATTAGGGTTTAGAAATTTGTCCAAAAAGGTAATTTTACCGTGGGACAAAATTGTAATATAAAAACAGAGAGTAATAGTGTATACTAAGAGCACTGAAAGTTTGGAAATAGAATTTCCCTTGATTTTCCTTACTTTTAAGGGGTGACCATTGGTTTAATGGTTAAGACTTGGCCTAATAACCTTGAGGTTATGGGTTCAAGTCTTTGGACCACCACTTTACGCTTTATGCTAAAGGTTAGGTGTGTACTAAATCTTTCCCCTCCCAAACACACATTAATGTGTACTTATTGGGCGTTGTTTTTTTTTTTTTTTTCCTTGCTTTTCATTAATGTTTAAAATTACAAAAATAGCTCTTATATACATAACAAAGAGTCATTAAGATTAATTAGGGTTTACTTCATTCTTCCCCTTATTCCTTCCTTCCCACGGATCCTAAATGTACAAACTACAGAATTTTCTTATACATTTCATGAAATTAAATTCCTAAACCTAAACTTGGATCCTAAATGTTGAAGAGCTGAACAAACTATCACGCTTGTTTTTTTTAATAATACTTTCTCCGAAGGAAGAAATAAAATAAAATAAACAAACTATCACAGTTAGTTTTCTAAATTTCTTATCCATTTCATGAAATTAAACTTTTACTAGTAATAGGATGTTTAACTTCATACTTCTCGAGGTTCAAGCCAGCCATTGACGAAACAATGATGCAAAGAGGGTAATATATCCTAAAATCTTATATTTGTCATTACAAAAACAAAAACAAAACATACTCACACAACCACCAATGAACTCGGAGGGTAAGCCAAGAGAGAACAAAAAAATAATTTTTTTTTTTTTTTTTTCAGGCAGCAGACTTCACCTTTTACTACAAAAAGCAAAATACAGATGAATACATATATTGAAGAAAGACAGCACTACTTTTTCTTTTCTTTCCCCCCCTCCCTTTGACGAAACATATGCAGAAATTAGATCTTTAAAATTGAGAGCAACCAAAACACCGCCTTATAGAAAAAGCACTAGATCGAGGACGCGATGGAGGATCAGGCTTAGGCTCAAGGCATTCACGAGGAAAATGTTTATAGAAGGCATTTACTGCACCTGATGCCCCATCCTCATTTTCCATGGCCTTTGCCAATTCAATAGCACATTGTTTCACCTGCACACACAACATAAGCTACCTTTATCAACTTTTCCGTTAACAAATATGCTATGAGCAACCAAAACTATGACACTTGAAATCCTGACCACCATACAACATGAAATTGTGTAACAAACCTGCACATGCTCATCACTCCCACAAGCTTGATGTTAAATTCAAAAATTTCAAAAGAGTCTGTGTCTCCTGAACTTTTGTCACCCCCTCACAATACAAAAGGGTTTTCGAGTAATTAAGTGATATTCCTTGTTTTGTGACATCCAAAAACACTAACATTATTGTAAATTAGTTTCACTTTTTATTTTTTTACGTCTTGAGAATAATATTGCAGCATTGGAATTTTCCAATTATCTACTTCAATTTCCCCAGGGGCCAAGTAGTTAGTTTCGTATTTATGGATAGCTAGCTACACAATATCTGTTAAAATTCACCTACTACACACCTACCACTACCACCTACTACACACTCACCTACTTCACCTACTCTCCACCTACTCCTCACCTACTCCATACCTACTACACACTCACCTATTCTCTTCTCACATCCTCTCTTCTATATATAGGAATCATTGTAATATAACATACAACAATCAATAATACATCAATTTTAACAATATCAGTGTTCAAAAAGGGCACAAGCTGCATACCATTAACATATAACAATAATAACAGCAAGAAAAATGCTAGTGAGAATGATTACCATAGGATCCTGCATGAAATGTATTGCATTAACTAACTTTTCAAGTGAGAACTCCTCAATAGGGATGGGTGGAGGACCTATTCCCCTGGCATGAACCCGCTCTCCCCAAAATGGTTGGTCCCCAAAGAAAGGAACAACAGTTGTTGGGCACTGAATTCAAATGAAAAGATGCACACACAAGATGAGCAAGGGAAATAATCAAAAGACAATAACGGTTCGTTTAGATAGATGTGGATTTCAACTCGAGGGATGAGGTTAAAAATATTGAAGAGTTAGCTATTATTAGTGAACAGAAAAGTTATAGAAGATAAATTGAGATAGACGACATGTATTTTAGTAGGATCTTTGTACCTAGACGAGAATCCTTAGCATGCTTTCAAATAACTACTTTTATATAGTTATTTCAAATCCATCATGATAAAAGCTATTTAATTCAATCTTGAAATTCATAAGTAAACCATCAAATCTAAATTTGAATTCTTATCCTCGAATGATTAATGTCAAATCCATACATTTCAAATCCACATCCATCCAAACACCCTAAGTCCCACAGAAGGAACAGTTAGTTACCGCAGCTTTAAGACCAGCAGCGGTTGTTCCTGCCCCCCCATGATGCACCTGGAAAAAGCTCAACAGAATGTCATGCTGCATTTGATAGTGGGAGCAAAGGCAACCAAAATTTCAGAGAAAAAAAAGAAAAAAAAGAAGAGTAATTGAAGTACCGAACCACAGTAATAAATGAAATTTGTTCTACAATATCCCTTTCTATCAAGTACCAATGTAAATGCTTCTCTTTACAACTTACAATGATGTGATTTTAATTCCTGCTTCAATAAGATCTTTTTTTCTTTTTTTTTTCACAAGTTAATCAGCATGTGTCTTTCACATATATAGGTTCTCACAGAAAAAACTGAGTAAGTCAAAAGTAAACAGCATCAACAATGTAAACCAATGCAAATAAGTGAATCCAATATGTGTAGTTTCCTCAACAATTTGTTAACAACACTAGTTTAGATTTGTGTATTAAATAATTTACTTAAAATTCAATTGAATGCATTAATGTATCACAACGATAAGCATTAGGGAAATGATCTACAACTTGGTGAACAACAATGCAACTGCTAAACATGTTCAGATATTCAAGTTTGATCATGAACAAAACATTATGTTGGACAGGACTTCATCAGAAAGGAGCTAAACTTCACCCCCAAAAAAATAGAGGAAAAAGGAAAAGATATATATTACTGTGATGCTGAGCATGGGCTTCACCACATGCCATTTCATTCCTTTGGTTACAATAAATTCTCTCTACATTATTACTTAATATCTTTGCTTGATTGCCTCTATCAATTGATGGAAATTTATTTAATTTTGAGAATAGATTATTAGTCAACATAGTTTAGTAAGACTTCTAATTTTGTTTTTTTAGTTCCATGTTCGATCACAAATTAGAATGCCACATTGCTACTACCATCACTACTAACTACAACTTCAAAATTTATCACCATCTATGTTACATGGACTCAGGTGCAGGTGTCAGGTACGGGTATGTCTATGTGTTCGTATGTGTCCAATTCATCTAATTTCCATGTCCAAGGACATGGGAATTCTTTTATTTTCAAGGATAAAAGGATGATCACAAGGTGTCATGGATCATTTCATATATAATAATGAGTTTTATACATTGTTTTATGGTAAACTTGAATTAATAAATTTTCTCGCTAGGTGAATGTCCTTCTTAACATGTTGGACACATATCTCTTACCATTAGCCAAGTGTAGATTGCCTGACAGAGGAACCTTATACATTTAGAACAGTCAATGCAACATTGATCACCATACTACTAAGATGCATTACACATCTCATCTCCTAATGCAGATTAAATGCTTCAAAAAATTCTTGGTTAACTCTAAATAAATAATCCATTTAAAATTACCCAAATTATGTAATAGTAATTGACATTGACAACATAAAACAAGGGGAAGGAGTCTCAAATTATTGAGTTTGGCTCATAAACAAAATACCTCTGATATCAATGAAGCAAGGCGAAAAAGTCTCTCAAATCCAACTCGTCTAAACATAATACCTTCCAAGTATTTTAAAATTATCAATGAAAAATTTCAATTTCAACAATAGAAAATTTAATTACATAATTAGATTCTCTTTTCACCGACAAAACAACAAAAAATAATCATCCCTCACAAATGACGGTGGATACTCTTTCTAATATTGTTTTAGTGAGTAGGACCCTAACACGTAGGTGGGGCCTTTCATGGTATGCAGGCATGAAAAACTTATGATGCCTCCTAGAAAGGAGCCAGATCCCAAGATGTCTCACCCAAAAAAGTGATGTCTGGTATATCCAAGTCCATAAGTAGTGACTGACCTGTAGTATACAGAGATAATCCTCTAACAAAAGAGTTCAAGAGATTTCGAGGGTTACAGGGGCAATGGAGATAACTTATGGCCTGTTGGTCCAGGTGTTAGAAGTGGACTAGGTACAGAGCTAAACCTCCTTTTTTCTCAGACAAAATGGTTGCCTCAAAAACACCTTTGCAAACTTGACAGCAAGCTTTTACTGATTTACCAAGCAATCGCCCCTAAAAGGACTGAGTTTATGATATAAAATGAAATCTATATCTGAATATCAATCAAAAAATTGTGTCTGAATGCACAACAGAAATATGAAATTAAACACTAACTTTCTCTTAGCCTGAGAAACCACTATGCAATATTTGATCTTCTCATAACGCACTTCAAGTTTTGTAGCAGTCTAAGTATACTCACTGCTAAGAAGCACGGACACGGACACGGACACGGACACGGACACGGACACAGACATGGATATGAACACAAGACACAAAACACGGTGATTTAAAAAAATGGGGACACGGACACGCCGGGAAGCCGACAATACAATATTTTTTCATATATTTTTATTTGTTATGTAGATTAATATTTACATCCACAAACAATCAAAATTAACAAAAAATAACACTAATTCTATATTTATTTTTATAAAAAACTTTTAAATTAACACTAATTGTTTATATATTTTTATGAATGAAGTATTTAAATTTAAGAAAAAAGTAATAAACTTTCAACATCCAACATTCATTAAAATGATGGAAACAAGGTGGCATGTCCCCAAAGTGTCCCCGGAGTGTCCCTTGAAAATAAATTAATTAAACAAGAGGGACACGCAACCTAGCGTGTCCCATACATGTCCTTGCTGTGTCAGTGTGTTCTCGTCGTGTCCACGTGTCCGACACGGCTACGGCACTTGTTTTGAATTGTTAGTGCTTCATAGCTCTCTATGAATCTGATTTGTCAGTCTTTCCATAGCAAAAAGCCAGAATGTAACAGGTTGCGGGAAGAAAAGTAGCAAACAAAGGACCAATTTTTGCTATTCTCTAAGGCTTACAAATCATCAAAGGCACACATGAAACATCCTCTTTGTTAATGCCTTAGGTGATAGGAGAATAGTTGCACTAAAGAAGACCTTTGAGCAAAGTTTATAAAAGCAAATGTGTAACTCGAGGCATTTTACCCCTCATGAGGCGAGGCGTAATCCTTAGGGCGTCAAGGCATAAGCATTTCAAATTTTAAATTTTGATATTTAGTGAATAAATTAAATATTTTACAATAGTAAAAATAAACAAATAATTAAATATAAAGGTGTAGATATTTTTCTCCGCAAGGCATTAAACATTTCGCTACAAAAAATGAAGTTTGGCTTTACTGAAAGTGAAATTGATATCCTTAGTTTTAGTGATTGAACTTCTCACTTGAGAATTAATTGTGTTTTTTCTTGATTGGTCATTTACTTTTTTTTTTTTTTATAGTCGCAAAATGGGGTTCTTTTTTATTTTTTATATTTAATCAATCTACTAGACTAAGTTTAACAAAAGCCTAAGGCAACCTCTTCATATGCATATTTCTCATATGCTTATGTGCAGAAGGCATACAAGGTGCACCTAGGAATATCATGTATAAACTTTTGGGGAGTAAAGCCTAAAAATCAAAGCATTGATGCGTTTTACCTTAGCCTCAAGGTGAGGCGAGCATCGAGCCAAGTCCCTAGCTTGTCCCCAAAGTGTCCCCCACGTGTCCCCGGTGTCCCTTGAAAATAGATTAATTAAATAAGAGGGACATGCAACCCAGTGTGTCCCATACATATCCCTACTGTGTCAGCGTGTTCTTGTTGTGTCCACGTGTCTGACACGGCTACGGCACTTGCTTTGAATTGTCAGTGCTTCAGAGCTCGCTATGAATCTAATTTGTCAGTCTTCCCATAGCAAAAAAACCAAAATGAAACAGGTTGTGGGAAGAAAAGTAGCAAACAAAGGACCAATTTTTGCTATGCTCTAGGGCTTATAAATCATCAAAGGTACACATGAAACATCCTCTTTGTTAATACCTTTGAGCCATATCGAAGCACTCATAATTCCGGCATGGAAAAAGAAAAACCATGCATTGGAAGCATGATTTTTCTGTTTTTATTTTCTGAACTGTTTGTTTATTACCCAAAGTTGACAAACAGAATAGGAACTTAAAGACTGGGTGGCGGAGGGCAGCAGCTGTGCTGATGATGGCAATGAGTCAAAAGCATTCATGTCCTCCCCTCATCAGAACAACCAGTATTGTTTTCTAAAATATTCAACCCTTTTGAGAAAAAGGGGAGGAAAAAAAATTGTACCATCACCTTAATATAACTGTTGATTGTCTATGCTGTATTCATGTAATCTAAGCAACCACATGAAATCAGGAAGACACTAATACTGTATCATTTTAACTTGACATAAATCAATGAGAAAACTATTGAAGTCTTACCACAGCAGCACATTGTAAGAATAACCAGTCATGAGGGCAATTGTCCAATAAGTACACAAAGTCCTTTGGTTCTGCCACTGATAAAAGAAAATTAAATACATACCATCTATTCATGTAACTTTAACAGCTACATATGCAAAATTCTAGGAAGCAGATAACTTGGTGACATAAAACTACATAGTAAACGAACGCAAGGAACCCAAACTTACAGTTCCCTAGGCCACCCCAGCCTTTGTTAATGATGCCTCTTTGACCAGTCAATTGAAGAGCCTTAACAATTATGTTGGTCATTTCCTCTGGTTCTTGAACAGGCTGTAACAAGTTAAAAAAGTAGACATAAATACAGATAACAAAAATATATATCTACTACTGCTGCTGTTGATAATCCTTGCCCACCAACTAGTTTCAATAGGTGGTGATGATTCCAATCTTCCCATTGCTCTTAGAAAAGAGGTTAAGACTAGTATTCAACACCCTGTATCTAAATTTGTTCCCTATGATTCATTGTCTCCTTCATATTGTGCCTTTGTTTTGTCCTTGTCCCATGTGTGTACTCTGTAGGGTTAGAAGGAAGCTAATGATCAATGCAAATAGGCTATGGTAGAAGAAGTAAAAGCTTTGAGCAAGAATGATATGTGGAAGTTGGTTTTGTTGGAGAATCAGGGAGCCCACGAACGCACAACAATACAAGCCCAATCTGTGTGGGAGAAACTCTAGAGTCTACACTTGCAACACTAGGGCCCAACATACATTATTTGGAACTCATACTCACTTAAAAACTTAAGCTTGTAAGTAGAGAGCCCATCCAATGAATATTAAGACCCATTGCCTTTTACTCTTTATCTTATATGAGACTCTACTTTCACATGTGCTCCAACAATCTCCCTTTGATCTTTAAAAAAATCATTGAATACAAAAAAAAACAAAATACAAAAAATTCAGTCCATTCTTGTATTTTGTTGTATACAATGATTTTTTAAATTTTTAAAAAAAATTTCGAGTGTATCTAGATTAAGTGGATCTAAAAAGTTAAAAAAAAAAATGATTAAAATGTTAAAAAAATTCTCTAAAAATAAAAAATACAGATTGAAAATTCAAAAAAACTATTTTTTAAAACTCCAAATCAAACATAATGCCAAAATCCAGAACCTCAAGAGAGGTCCCTCCAATTTTCTGAAAATACTAATTATAGGAAGAATGAGCTCTGGATGAAACTCACAAGGCTACCGAATCCAATGTAGATGGGCGCTCTACCATTTTCCAACCATTGCACAAGTGAATCTGGAGGTACATAATTTGCGGCAAGGTCTAGGAAACAAAACCCAACCACATCAATCTTAGGTCCCCAATCTGCAGGCCGAGGAAAAAACTATACATTAAAATGCAATTCTTACAACAAAGTTTAGTAATTTATCAAATTTTAGTAGTTTCTTTTCCAAGCTTCAGTTAGTGTAGGATATCTCCAAGTTCTATATAAATCATTCTAATGCCTCTAATTCAATTTTGATGCAGAGTATAAGAAGCTTGAGGAAGACTAAATTCAAAGAAGTGATGATATTTGGATATTGGCATGATTTCAAAGAGAATATGAGAATCTTATATAATTATGTTTCTAGTGTTATTAAAATCTTATTTTATGATTATTTTTATATTTTATGGGTTAGGAGTATTTTGGTAATTTGCAGAATTTCTGAATATGAGTTGTATTTGTTGCCTATGGGTCATCTTGTGGGATAAGTTATTTAATTAGTCTTTGTTTTGTTTCTTATTTGGTTTTAGATTAGTTTTGGAAGTCAAAGATATTGTAGTAGTTTCTTTTTTTGGTTATATAGTTGGTTTAGGAAATCTACTAATTTTATATAAAGCCGTGTAATACTTATAATTTGTGTTAATATTTTAGAGAATTTCAAGAGCTTTTGAAACGTCTTTATGGATTGTGTGATGCAATCAAACCCTGGTGTGATACCTAGGTAATTCTAGGAGTGATTCTTAAACCTATCTTCTTTCTTTTTCTTTGTTTCAATTTACTATTCTCGGATTACAATTCACAGCCCTCTAAAAGTACACTTTTCAACCTCAAAACCCTATCCAATCACCCCCAGACCAACCCTAATCCTTTCCCCTATCTATTAGCCTTCAATTTAACCCTTAAAACCCTAAACTACTCACTGTGTTGGCCGTCAAATAACCTCTGCTTTCAAAATCCAGCTGTGTCCTACATCAGATATATTCTGAAGAATTTTGTGAAGCTTTTGAAGCTCTTCTATGGATTGTGCAATGCAACCCTAACCTTACGTTTAAATGGCTATGGGATTCTAGGAGTAATTCCTAGTTTCTTCTTCTTCATCTTCTTTTCTTTTGAAATTTGTTCACTTAATCTTCAATCAGCTGATCTGTTCAAGCTTTCTTTTGTTCGTAATAAACCCTATTCAGCAAGGTCAGTCCTCTCCCTCTAGATAATTTAAAGCCTAGCCCCTTTGAAACCCTGAAATATCAATATACTGTCCACAAGTTACCGCTCAATGCTCCCGAACAGCCTTAATTTTTCCATCAAAAACTTTTTCTCTACAGTAACCAACCCCTAAAACAACCCTTGGCCATTTTTCTCACTAAATCAAACCATAACAGCTAAATAAACTTGAATTAAATTTATAGGTGCTGCATCATGGAGCTGATTACGAAGTTACGTTTTAACATCTTATATGTGGTCAATATTACTTTCCTGCCAAAGTTTCTTATTTACTTATTTGATTTCTTAGTTTTAGTAGGAGAATCGCAGAAACTTGTACGTATGAATGTATTTGAGAACTTGAATGTGTGTTTGTGTCATTTTGCTCAACCCTTGTGAGGGTAAGCCCTTTTTTCTACTTTGAGGGTTTAAAAAAAGAAAAAAGAAAAAAAGTGAACTTAATAATTCCCCTGTTACTATTCAACACTCTCAAAGAGACCCTATTTCAGCCCAAAAATCACAGTTTATCAAATATTCAATGGTCCTAACTCCTTCCCTTACCTTTTGACTTTCAAATCCATCTCAAAAATCAATTATAAACGTTCTCCAAAATTTCCAACAACTTGCCACTTCAAAGATCTGATCTAATTTCAGCCCCACTTCATCTACTAACCTCGAAACCTTTCCACTACCTACTATAGAACTCTATCTACACGCTTTCCTTTTCCCAACCAAACCATAAAGCTAATCATAAGCAGCTTTTTGTTCAGTTCTTTTTACCAATGAAGCTTGATCTATCAATATGTAACATGTTCTCACATAACAACATTAATAAATGTAGAATGAAACATTTTGCATTCAGAACTGGTTGACTATTAGGTTACAAACTTACAAAGGTAGTAGTAGTGGTAGTAACAGCAGTAGTAGAAGAAGAAGAAGCAACAAACATGGAAGATATATTTAATTAAATTTTTTTAGAAAAAAAGAAAGAAAAAAGAAAAAGAACAAAAATAATATGAGCTAAAAGAAAAAAATAGCAACTATTAGTATACCAAAGTATCTCTAGCATCAAATGTAGCAAAAACAACTCCTGAAATTTGCCAACGGACAGAAACTAATAAATAAGTCCAAATACATGTGCAGACTTGACACTACATTACCTCTTCAATAAACAGCAATATAATGGATAACAGGGAAATGACCTTTAGGTTTGGGAACAAGATGAGGACACCAAAGATATCCATAAGGCACATCTGGAGAACTATAAGAACCGCTTAAATATGTCACAGGTCTTAGCTTCAATTTTTTCTTCCTAAACTCATTTATTAGGTCCCGTATTCCAAGCCAAATTAGTGCATCAACAATTTGATATGATAGCTGCAAAAAACATTAATCTTCATTTAGAAATGGAAACAAATAATAGAAGCATTCTTTTGAAATTAATTGAGACCCACATAAATGCAACAAAAAAAAAAAAACAATTGTAGAAGAAAAGGCTTACTCTATATCCAACTTGTTGTTTAACACGAGAAAAAGGATGTGGAAACTCGCTGGTAGGCCTGGAAAAAAAAAATGGTTAAGTGTAAGGGGGAAAATAATGAGTTACTAAATAAACATGCCTACTTAACTCAATAGTGCACAGGATGTATGCCTAAAATTATACAGAGATTAATTTACGACGCTGGAATTAGTAGGAAACTTAAAACAACAGTACAGATTTCTCAAATTAACATTTTAAGCATTTAACCAACTCCCCCTCCCCACCCAAAAAAAAAAAAAGAACAGTAAAAAGCTTACGTCCATGGCATTGTGAAAAATATATGGAGTGGTACATTTAGTGCCTCTGCAACATGCGTATGTCCTGAAGAAGTGTTTTTTCACATGAGGAATCAGTTGAAATATTTTATCAACACTTCAGATAATGAAAATCCGACAGATTATTCAGCACAAGAAAAACAAAAAACAAAAACTATAACAAGAAATAACAGCTTATAGATGTTATAAGTCTACATTAAAAAGGAATTTAGCATTGTGAACTTATATTATCGTTGTTAAGGAATAACAGCTTATAGATGTCATATGTCTATCAGTGCTTTTACCAACACTGTTCTCAGGGTTAAGATGTGGCTGCACGCAGGTTAAAACAACAAAGAAAAGTTCAAGTCCAAGTTTAGAAAAGAAATCAAACCCTATGAATTCCTAGTCTTCAGCTTCACCTTCAAAAGGGTTATGCTTGGACACACAATCTCAAATTCTCCAAAACTCAACTCAATTGAATTATTAGATAGATTACATAGGTAATTATAGGCCATTGAACTTTTCCTACAACTACCAAGACTTGAAACTTCAAATTAAAGAACTACAACCTTTAACTTCGGAAAGACTTTTCTAGGCCTAAGACCATTTTTTTTTATAAAATTCAATAACAGAACTTGCCAAAGAAAAGACCAATGAACTATGTCTGCACCCATGTCTAACAAATCTACTAGTTACCAGAAAACCCTCAACTTTTAAAACCTAGTAAAACATAAACAAAATTTAACTCCACGAGGTCTGACATGGGCTGTGTAAAATTTCCAATTCACCCTTGTTATTATTTGCATCAAAATCTCGTGGTTCATTAAGTTGACAACACTAAGTTCCGTCAAAGGTTTTCGTTCTTGAAATATACCTACCTCTTACTCCAAAGGTTTCAGTTGTATACAAGATTGGCTAGTAGCATCCATATTTTTCGACATTCACATTGATGCCATATAGGCTCCCTTCCCCTTTCTTATTATTTCCAAAAACTATATAACATAAAAGAATCAATAATATGATATTCAAACTCAAACTAAAACCTTAAAAAAAAAAATCCCTCTTTTTTTTGTTGGTAATCTAATATTTTTCATATCAGACATCCTGCCCATTTGACCTGTGTTATTACATCCTGATCATATGTTAATATAGTTTAAGTAGGCACATAAAAAGGTTCAAGTCGACATTATAGGGGACATGACAGTAACACAAAAATGAAACAAGTAATTAGAGGTTACCATATGCAGGGGGATTGGCAATTATTGCATCCACTTTAAATGGAACTGTAGTATCCGGATCAGGATCTGTGCATGCAGGAAGTAAGGAGAATATGATTTCCTTTATTTGATTTCGCTGAATGGGTATTTCTGAAGGTCCAGATGGCAAGAACCCTTTATTTTTTACCATGTCTGCACAAAGAATACAGATTAAAGTAAAAAATAACTGAAGGGGCACTTGGAGTTGCAGTACCAGATGATTTCATGTCTAGTTATCTGTTGTGACATCTTCCTTTCAACTTTTACTCAAAATGCAATCTACTTCAACTTTTACCTTCTTAAAAAAGCTTCCACTTTTTAATTGGTCATTTGTTACTCAAGGAGATGGAAGTAGTCCTGCTGGAGGGACCCACCCTCTAATACCTCTAGACAAGGTTTTCTATTCAATAATGTTTCTCTTATCGATAAGTATAATGGAGAAGATTCATTCATTTTGAAAAGCCCATAAATTTAAGCAGCTCATTGCAAGCAAAATATAAGAGCTATAAATTCCATACAAAAAGCTGAAACTAAAAACTCCATATCTAATAAATCAAGTTCTGAAATGATTATCTTTACAAGCCAATCTCTCAGATCAAGGAGATCAAGAATGTGTAGTTTTAAAGAAGAGAAAGAGTTAGGAAATGAGTTAGACTTCATTCCCTTTTATATTGATAATTGAGCAATTACAAGTATGGTCTGAGTAATCAAAAAAGGAATGAATAAGAATACAACCAATTATTTCCTATTCTAATATTTCCTACTCTAACACTCCTCCTCAAGCTAGTGCAAAGATATCTCTCATGCCCAGCTTGTTGAGAATGCCATGAAAGGATTTGGTCCCTAGTCCCGTGGTGAGAACATCAGCTAGTTGGTTCCCAGTCTTCACAAATGGCATATATATGGTGCCACTAGTGAGTTTTCCCTTGATGAAGTGCATATCAATCTCCACATGCTTAGTTTTATCATGCTGAACTGGATTATGAGCTATATTGATTGCGGCCTTGTTGTCACAGTATAGTCGCATGGAGTCAATCTGATAGATTCCCAAGTCTCCGAACAATAGTTTAATCCATAGTAACTCACATACACCCTGAGCCATAGCCCTAAATTTTGTCTCAGCATTAGATCTAGCCACCACATTCTGTTTCTTACTTCGCCATATGACTAGGTTGACACCCACAAATGTGCAGTATCTGGAAGTTGATCGTCTGTCAGTGACTGATCCAGCCTAATCTGCATCAGTAAATGCCTCCACACTGAGATGGCTATGTTTTGAGAAATAGAGACCCTTTCCAAAAGAAGACTTCAGGTATCTCAGGATTCTCATAACAACCTCCAAGTGGGAAGTTCTAGGAGCATGCATAAACTGGCTCACTATGCTCACGACGATGGCAATGTCTGGACGTGAGTGGGACAAGTATATGAGCTTGCCCACTAGTCTCTAGTATCTCCCCCTGTCCACTGGATCTCTCTCTTGATCCTCACTCAGTTTCTGACCCGGTTCTAAAGGTGTATCACATGGCCTACCACCAAGCATTTCAGTTTCCTTTAGCAAGTCAAGTACATACTTCCTCTGGCATATGATGCTGCCATCCTTGGACCGAGCTACTTCAATGCCCAAAAAGTACTGCAAATAGCCAAAGTCTTTGATTTCAAACTCTTTGGCTAAGTATTCTTTCAAATGAGGAATCTCCTCAACATCATCTCCTATCAGAACAATATCATCAACATAGACAATAAGAGCTATGGTCTTACCATGTAAGGAGTGTTTCACAAACAAGGTGTGATCAGCTTGACTTTACTTGAACCTATATTTCAGCATAGCTTGAGTAAACCTTTCAAACCAAGCCCTAGGAGACTGCTTTAGCCCATAAAGTGACTTTCGGAGCCTACATACTTTACCATTGGACTTAGCATCTGTAAAACCAGGAGGAATATCCATATAGACTTATTCTACTAGATCTCCATGAAGAAAGGCATTCTTCACATCAAATTGATGAAGGGGCTAATCCAAATTTGCAGCAAGAGAGTAAAATTCTCACAAAATTCATCTTAGTAACCGGTGCAAATGTCTCTTGCTAATCCATCCCATAAGTCTGAGTGAAGTCCTTAGCAACCAGTCTTGCTTTGTATCGTTCTATGGAACCATCTGCTTGATGTTTTACCGTGTACACCCACTTACACCCAACTAGATTTTTGCCTCTAGGTAACTCTACTAACTCCCAAGTGCCACTCTTGCTGAAAGTTCTCATCTCTTCCATCATGGCATGTTTCCATTCAGGAATAGAAAGAGCATCCTAAAATTGGTAGGTAGACTTACAGAAGACACTTTAGACAGAAAAGCTTTATATGAGGAAGACAAATGAGAATAAAAGACATAATTACTAATAGGATGCTGAGTACATGACCTAACCCCCTTCCTATTAGCAATGAGAACATCAAGATCTAAAAAAGCAGGAATAAAAGCACTAGAATCAGAATTACATGGACTCTTAATAGAGGTGGGTGACTCTGGACACTCATCCGGAGAAGAAGTTGGCAGTAGAGGAAGAAAAGTAGTCTCTTGTATCCAGGTGACTTGTTGTTTATCCTTGTCCATGATATAAACTTGGCCTGCTTCCATTTCCTCAACAACTGCTGGCTCATCATCCTCTATCTGTTTAACAGGAACAACAATCTCTTCACACCAAGGCTCCCCCTGAAGGGATGACTGTGATACTGGGGGGGTCGGAAAATAGGGCTAAGACTCCAAGGACAAACCATTTGTGAGTGGAAGGATGATAACACTTATAACCCTTTTTGGTGGCAGAATAACCCAGAAAAACACACTTAAGAGACTTGGGATCCAATTTACCATGAGTGGGTCAATGATTATGAACAAAGCAAACACAGCCAAAAGTTTTAGGAAGAATGGAGAATCCGGAAGGGGTAGATCCGAACAAAACTTGAAGAGGTGTTTGTTTTTGAAGAACTTGGGTAGGAAGACGATTAATCAAATAAGCGGCAGTGAGAATCGCATCCCCCCAATAGGATCGAGGAACCCACATCTCAAAGGATAGACAATGGGCGACATCAAGGAGATGGCGGTTTTTGCATTGTGCAATATCATTTTGTTGAGGGATACATGAAGTCTGGTGAATAATGCCATGAGTGGCTAAGAAAGTGGCAAGACCAAAGTGAATATATTCCCCCCCCCCCAAATTATCAAAATGTAAAATTCTGACAACCGCCCCAAACTGAGTACAGACCATTTTATGGAAGTTTTGAAACACAGAAAACACATCACTTTTATTTTTTATCAAATAGACCCAAGTGGCCCTGGAATAATCATTGATGAAGGTAACAAACCATTTTTTACCGGTCAAAGACACAAAACGGGATGGACTCCATACATCAGAATGAATTAAAGAAAATAGAACTAAACTTTTATTAATAGAAGGAGCAAAAGAGGCTCTGTGTTGTTTTCCAAGTTGACAAGACTCACATTGAAACTCTGACACATTATTTTTCTCAAAAAAAGAAGGAAATAAATGCTTAAGTAATAAAAAAGAGGGATGTCCTAAGCGACGGTGCCACAGCTAAATGTCTTCTTTGGTGGATGGTAACTGAATAGATGAGTGAGCTAGCTTGTTGGTCTGATCCAGAATGTAGAGACCATGTTTCTCTCTACCACTGCCAATCCTTTTCCTCGTGATGAGGTCCTGAAAAAGACAATGATCAGGAAAAAACGTCACGTTACAATTTAAGTCACAGGTAATACGACTCAAAGATAAAAGATTAACACCAAAAGTAAGAATATAGAGGACAGAGGACAAAGGGAGGGAAAAGGTAGCATAAATTAAACCTTTCCCGAACACTGATGATATAGTACCATCAGCAATATGCACTTTTTCCTGACCTGATGAGGGGTTTTACTCTGAAAATAAATTAGAGGAGCCAGACATATGGTCGGAAGCACTAGAATCAATAATCCATGGTACAGTCGTATGAGAGAGCAATACACACAGAGAGGAAGCCAAGTTACTTGAATTGGCAAAAGAAGAAGAGAGTGCACCTGTAACAGAAATGGAGGCTCGACGGTCCAACAAGTGGTGAAGAGCAATCTCAAAATCTGAGGCAGATAACCCCAAAACATCAGCAACAGGGGAGAAAACTGGAGAAGAAGATGGTGGCTTAACAGTGTCTGAAAAATGTGCCCAAGCATTGGCTCCTCGGCCTCTAGACTGACCAGACCTACCCCCTCGAGTACCAGGACGGTCTCTTCAGCCACCAGAAGGAGTCCCATGCAGCTTCCAACAGGTCTCTCGTGTGTGGCAAGGTCGACGGCAATAGTCACAGAAAAGATTATCCTTCTTAGAGGAAGAATGAGAACCACGAGTCACACGGTCTCCATCGCGAGGGGGTGCAGAAACCAAGACCGAGCGATCAGGAGTAGTAGAAGGAAGCATCGTAGAGTAGCGACTCTCCTCATTCTGCACAAAAGCAAAGGCTTCTTGGAGAGAAGGAAGCACATCCATGCCAAGTACTCTACTTCAAACCGGATCATACTCCACATAAGGCCTTCCAAGAACTTGAAGACCCTCTCTTGCACCACAAATGTCCGGTAACCAGTAGAATCAATAGGACAGACAGGCTTGTAATCCTGAAGGTGATCAAGTTGCTTCCACCCATTGCTAAGGAAGATAAAATATTGGAGGATCGTCATATCACCTTGTATCGACCTTTCAATGGAGCGATGTAACTCGAAAGCCTGTGAGAAGTTCCCTTTTCGGGAGTAAGTGGTAGTCAGGGCCTCCCAAATATCTTGTGCAATGTCCATAAAGAGATAGCCGTCTCAATCTTCGGGACCATAGAATGAATCAACCAACCCATAATAAGGGAGTTGGTGATCTCCCACTGATCATAACTCGGGTCTGTGGTGAGGGGTGCCTGGATTCTGCCATCAACATACCCCATCTTCCCTCTGCTCTTCAAGAAAATAGTCAGACTCTGCGACCACGCTAGATAGTTCTGACCATTGAATAGAGAAATGGTGATTTTAAAGCCAGGATTGAGATTATCAATCATAGTAGAAGGGATAACGGAGCTCTCGCTCTTAGGTGGCTGAGAGATTGTGGACTCACTAGTGAAATATGCCATGAATATTCTACTAAGTAACCCTCAAACTCAGTGCCAATCACAAACTCGGAAGATGGTGGAGGAATAGTAAACACTATGACCACAAAGAGATCAGCAAAAGAATAATTTTTTTTTTTAACATAGCATCATTTTTTTTTCTTTTTTTTTTTTCTTTTTTTTGGTTTGTTTTTTTTTAACTAACTAACCGTTATAACTTTATAAGAAAAGAGAGAGAGAGAGACAACAATCGGGAGAGACGACACTGCGAGAGAGAGTCGATAGTCGAGAGAGAGTCGACAGTAGCCTAGGAGATGCCGATAGAAGCCAAGGAAGCCAGAGGGGCTGTCTACAAGCCCTAGGGTGCCTTACGATGGCCTGGGTGAGGCCCTAGAGTGCCGATAGACCCCCTAGGTGACTAACGATGGCCTGGATGGACTGTGGGATGACAGACGATGGTCTGGGTGAGAGGCTACTATGGCCGACTAGGCTCCTGGGGAAGATAGAGTTGCCGGCAGACAAGAATAAAGTATGGGCTAGGGCTTAGGCTCTCTGATACCATGTTGTTTTAAAGAAGAGCAAGAGTTAGGAAATGAATTAGACTTCATTTCCTTTTATATAGATAATTGAGCAATTACAGGTATAGTTTGAGTAATCAAAAAAGGATCGAATAAGAATACAACCAATTATTTCCTATTCCAACAAAATGCAACCTTGATCACGTGGAAACAGTTCAAAGGGCATGAACAAACAAAAAGAAAAACAACAAAAATTTAAGACAAAAGGCTTAGTTTGGTTTAGTTTGATAATAAAAATTTTAAATATATATATTGCTTATATCATGGGCCTGCCAAGAAAAGAATAACAAAATAAAAAAAAATATGAAAAACTTTCTTGAAGCAAAAGATTATATGCACAGGTATCAGGCTTGGACTTAACATTCCGCAGCAATTAATTGAATAGCAGCTGTAGACCAATCACTGGTCTTCAAATTGTACAATGTGATTGCAGTGTATATATAGGGGAGTAGGTTCATGGTAAAAACTTCCTACAGCATAACCTCCCGTAAGTAATTTTGACATAACTATATTCTTGCCACAGCTGGTTACAATTTACTTATTATTGTACTTTTTCTATTGTCGATTTTGTGTATGCCATGCAGTAAAAATGATCAGAACCATGTCATCTGTCTTCATTCAATACAGCAATGCATGTTTGCATTAAGTATTGAACGATGTAATATCACAATTTGGCAAGTGTAATTAAAAAAAAAACTTGAGGTTGAAATATTATTTTTTGTAACATCAATATTTAGAGGCAAAATCTTAGACCACAAGCTTAAAGCATATACAGAAAAAAATGGAGACAACCCTTCTGACTTCACGCTTCACTATACATACATCATATTCGTATTCATATTGTGAAAAAGAAAATATAGGCAAAATGCATTAGCATTATCTCCAAAATGATTCAGCGATCAAAACAAACTTTGTTACAAAATTTATCAGTAGTAAATTATTCCCTTTCATTCTTGAGATGCAAAACGTAGCAAAATTTCTGAGAGCTTCCACAAACATTACATCTGGAGCCCATTTATTTCAAAGACCAAAAAATTTAAGTTGTACACATCCTTTCCTAACAATTTAAAGAATCTCACCCCTTCTTTGGAGCTCCATAAATGAAAAGGGTTTGGTTGCTCCTAGATAACTGTGCAAAGAATTTACTTTTTCAGGCTAATATAAAATGGAATGACCAGATAACAGTCTCTTGGAATCAAGGCTTTAAGAATGATGTTGAGAGTATGAAATTAGATCTCCTCAGATTACTTACAACCAACAAGAACTTTTGGATCTCCACCAAGAGGAAAAAATTCCAATCCAGCAGCCAACACAAACTCCTTGAAATTAGAGTGAGTCGCTAGTCGCACCCTATGACCAAATTCCTGCAAGAAATATCCATTTCTAATATCTCATATTGCTGAAAAAATATGGTTTTGAATTGTGCAACCACGAATGACATATGGTTAATCTGCATGCATTTAACACAATGAACCATCCTTGAGATTCAATGAATTTACATCAACATTTGACAAAATCTGTAGCAATAAAGAGATTACAGATATACAAGTACTAGTTTTCCAATTCACGCTGGGAATTGAAATGCCATTTTCAAGCATCCAACACCGATTATGCTATAATGGCTCTTGAAAAAAAATGACCAAGTGCTACAGTACATATCTTTAAATATACTTTATAGAAGATGCAAACCCAATGACAACAATGTGCAAAAATAAATGTGTGAGCTGGACTACACCAACAGCCCTTGTATTATGCCCAAAACTTTGCTCTATCTTATTGGAGATAAGATTATATTGTCAAAGATATCAGAATATATAGAAGATATTAGAATATATGAAGATTCCATGATTTGTGCTTATTATGATTTTTTTGTATCTTTGATTTATTTCAATTCCTAAAGTAAAGGGATTTGATTGTATCTCCTACTTTATATATATGGTGTATCATGTAAACAAGAGTATCAAGTTAAGTGAATGAAAGATGTAACCCCTTAGGGCTTTGTGTGTGTGGATGTAGGCCAACATTGGCTGAAGAGTGTGTGCTGCCACATCTATAGAAGAGCCATTTATCCTCTTTAATCTTGAGATGGCCAGGTCATCATTTCAATGTTCTATCTCTTCTAAAGAGGACTCCATGTCCTTCCCCACGTTTCTCTTTAAATGGCTCAATGAATTTCTGTTTTCCATTTTTTTCTTCTTCAAAAAAAGGTGTTTCCAACATCCATGTGTGTATGAACAAACCCAAATATCAATGAAGTAAAAAATCAAGGAACAACAGGAATGAAGATATCCTTTTAAATACAGTGATGTGATCATCTTCCATCACATAAACAACCTATACTGATTCTCAAAGTGAAACATTCTAAGGAAATAAATAGAAAATAAAATATATATGTATATGAACATATATAACCATGCTTCTCCAAACAGTAAAACATGTTTAACCTGTAAACGTTTGCCAATGGCAACAAATGGCTGTACATCCCCCCGTGTTCCAACAATAAGCATAACAATTTGCAGTGGAGGTAGATCTGGAATGACTATAGCATCAACAGGTTCATCACCAGTAGTTCCATTATAAACAACTCCAGTTCCAAAATCAAGGGTTTGGGGTTTAATATCTCCTGGAACTTCAAACTGCACAGTTCCATCATTTTTAACCGTAGCAAGTCGATTCACCCACTTGAGCTGCATGTTTAATGGCTAATTATAAATCTGAGACAACTGATTAAAAGAAAACATGAACTAATCGACTAGAAATTTCTATAAACTATTAGGTCAACCCACGAAAACAATCAAAACAACCAAAGTAAAATTATCACCAACACATAAAATCCCTGAAAATAAAAACATGGAAACAGTTGAACTGGAAAGTCCAAAAAATTAGGGACACAATTAGACGAGAAAGAGAAAGAAAAAAAAAAGAAGTGAAGTGAAGAAAATTAGACAAATAGGTTTTGGGTGTATAACAAACCCTCCATCTTAGCAGATATTTATATTAAAATTAAAACAATAAAATAGGACAATATGACAAAAAGTACCCTCAATATAACATAATCAAAATATAACATAAAATACTCTATTATTCAAACACTCCCCCTCAAACTCAAGCATATAGATAAAAAAATACCCAGCTTAGGAAACGAACGTTGAAAAGATGACTGAGTTAACAGTTTTGTGAGAATATCACCTAACTGATCATCAAAATGAACATAAGCCGTCACAATCTATTTCTGTAATAATAAAACCCGAAAAAAATGACAATTAATCTCAATATATTTGGTTAGCTCATGAAAAACAAGATTATTAGCAATCAAAATAGTAGCTTGATAGTCACAACACACGCACCAGGAGTTGGAACAGCAATACCAAACTATATAGAAGAGAGTGAACCAATAACATCTCAGAAACAATATAAGCCATAGCTCTATTACCGACAATTTTGTGTCTCCCGGAAGTGTGTCTCTCTCTCTCTCTCTCTCTCTCTCTTATGAGCCAAAAGTACACCCTTAGGAACCCCTAAGGACACTCGCCTGATGTTGATTCAATGATTCTTATTGCCTCAAAATGGTGCAACAAAATACCTGCTCAGAAGTGGCTCTAATTAGCCTACCTCTCATTTGCCATCCATCCCTAACTTACATTCCTCTATGTTTTGAGGGGGGACTAGTGTCCCTCCTTAAGGTCATCCCTCCACTAATAGTCGTAGGAAGATAGGCGGGTAATTTTTTCTATTACGTGGAGGTCATACTTGGCCTGGGCCCTCAGCACTAAAACAAGAAGACAACATTCTATTTTTTATTGTGCCAAGTAACAAAGTTACCTCTGACAAAGGTACAATAGCCAGAAATAGAACATCAATTAGTAGGAACTTCCAGACCATTCATTGTCTACTCTAGTGGGAAGGAGTGAACAGACTGACTGCTTTCCTCTTATATGTCTCTTTTCCTTTCTATTTCGAGTAGATTTTATCCAGTCACAGACAAGGAAGTCAAAGGTTGATACAGCAGTCCCAACTAGGTGCATTCTTATGGTAAAGCAAGATACAACAAACAGCTTCAAAATGAGGACAACAAGGAGTGTACATATATTGGATGACCACACAAACAACATAAGTAATGTCTGAACGAGTGACAGTGAGATAAATCAACTTCCTAACCAAATAGCAGTAATGACCTACATCAGAAAATAATTCCCCCTGATCACCCGTCAAGATTAATAATTGAATCCACGAGACCGAGCATCCAAGAGACCATTCTCACAAAGGAGATCAAGCACATATTTCCTTTAAGATAAAGAGATGCCCTGTGAAAAACGAGCAACCTCAATGCACTTTTTATATCAAGCTGGTATAAGGGTCAAGAACGAATAATACAACAAAAAATAGAATCCAAACAGAGTTAAGACCGTCCACAAAGGAGAATGTATTCAAATAATCAACACCATATGTCTATGTACCCTTAGCAAGCAGTCGTGCCTTAAGAGACTTAACAAAACCATCAGGAAAATACTTAATAGTATAACCCCAACAACATCCCACAATTTGTTTGCCATGAGGAAGAGGACCCAAGTCTGATTCTTGAGAAAGGCACTCATTTCCTCATCCATAGCATGTTCCCATCCAAGCACAGAAATTTACTGCTTATAAAATGAGGGAATAGAAATAGAGAACAAGTTTTGAACAAAGGAATGTAAGCAAAGTGAAGCACGAGTATAAGGGGAAAAATGGGCGATAGGATGTTGAGTGCAAGTACATTTATCCCGCCGCAAAGCAATAGGCAAATCAACAGAATCCGAAATGGAAGAGGAAGGAGCAAAACCTCTTATAGAGATGGTACATCCAGACCATAAGAAACGACACGCCGATCTTGAGAGTGCTGATAAACCTGCAAAGGAGGTGGAGACAAAGCCAAAGATAGCACAAGAGTGGAAGAGAAATACCGGAGTGATGCAAAATGCACCAAAATAGTGGGAGAGGGAAAAGAAGACTCCTCATGACAAAAAATGAGATTAGAAAACGATTATTGCCCAGGTGAAGAAAAAAAGGATGTGGACTCAAAAAAGGTAACATCAACACTAACAAGGTAACAACGAGACTTGAGAAGATAAATCGATAACCTATCTGTGTAAACGAGTACTCTAAAAAGAAACACTTGCAAGCCCAGGGAGATAACACATTCTGACCAGGATCAAGGATATCAAAAAAAAAGCCACACAACTGAAAATATGAGGGAGTGGAAATGGTGAAAGGTCAAGATATAAAGAGAAAAAATAGATTATTCAAAACAATTGATGGCATACGATTAATCAAATAACAGGCAATGAGCACAACATATTATCACCCCCCGAAATGTTTGGATACCTCACCACATCATTATCTGAAATCCTTGACCAAAAAAATAAATAAAATAAAATGCTCTCTCTCTCTCTCTCATACTTCAACCCAGAACACATGCCCAATCGTTCTTCTTTATTATAACTGAAATAAACTTTCATATCTTAAGTGCTTAAGCATTTAGCAAACTATATCAGTCACAGTTCAAGTTACCTTAAATGGCATAACGTGGTCCTTGTGTAGTCAATGCCTAGTTGGTATTGCTCAATAAACCACTTATCTGGAAAGCAAGAAGAAGAAAAAAAATAACTCCAGAGATTTGCTCACAGTTCAAGGGCAAGGAAGACAAAAGGATGAATCAGTCCATCATCTTACATAGCATGCTACTCCTAATACCTGCCCTTGACGTGTTCTCTTCGAACTGCTGTATTTTTTGATCGAAAATTATGGTACAACTTTTAAAGACTTAATTGAAAAAGAGCACAATACTAAATTAAAGGTGATTGTCAAACCCACTCTCAATCGAACATTAATGTAAAATAACATGAGAAGCACATCCAAGAATCAAATATCACCATTATACAATTAAAAAAAATAAAAATCAATCCATATGAATAACAAGATGGGGGGGGGGGGAAAAGTAGAGGTAAAAAAAAAAAAATGTAATTGTAATCTAAATTGAAGTGAATTTTTTTTTTTTTAATAAGCATTACGGTAAAATTATCTGTGATATACTTGACCTTCTTTTTAAGAGGAATTTTGTCATCAAAAAGTTTAGCTGCCAATACACCAGAATTCTTGTCTTGTCGACGTCCCCCAGTTTTAGTAAGCTGACTGGAGGCCAACTCTGATTTATCTGCAGTTGATCTTTCCACATCCACAATGTTCGGTCTAGGCAAACTCCTGTCAAGTAATCCTGAGAAAAGCAGATTTGGAAATAGAATAGCAAATGAATACTGAAGAAGAAGAAGAAGGTAAACAAATTCTACTCTTAACTGCTAATGCAAATGAATAAATGCAAACTAAATACATTTGCTAATGATAGATGTGCAAGAGAATGAACTGAAAACTTCAATATAGGCTAGAATATGACCAACTCAATTCAATACAGACCTATAGAAAATAATACTTACATTCATATCAACAGGTATAACATATCGCCCTAGTCCCAAGTTGAAAACTACAAGTTAACAGTAATAACACAGAACTAGCAAGCAATTCAATCAAATTAGTATCACAGGATCATGAAGCTATTAGTTATGTTTGTAATGCACAAATTTACAATAGAAACAGGAGAAAGACAAGCAACCGTAGATTTTAAAGAACCAGTCTTCAAAGTGATCCAAAAAGGATGAAAAGAATGATTTGGCTTACCAATGAATGAAGTAGAGGCCATGTATATATAATAAATTCATGATTCAATTTATGAAACAATATAAACAAGATACTAAATTAGTAATTGAGACAATCACAGATTATATACATAATACTAAAACTAATTCCTATATTCAACACTCCCCCTCAAGCTAGTGCGAAGATATTCAACAACCGCAACTTGCCAATTGATGACTAGAGCAATGTCAGTCCTACAGACTTTGTTAACATATATGTTAACTGCTGAGAGGAAGAGACAAAGGATGGACTCACAGTACTAGTCCGAACCTTTTCTTGAATGAAATAAATATCAACCTCTATATGCTTAGTACACTCATGAATGACAGAATTAGAAGGCAGCATAATAGCAGACTTGTTGTCACAAAACAAATGAAGCCATAGAATCTCACATGTTCCCTGTGCCATAGCTCGATACTCAGCTTCGACAGAAGATCTAAAAACAACTGTCTGCTTCTTATTCTTCCATGATATAAGATGGTCACCATAGAAAGTAAAAAGTTAGAAGTAGAACGCCAATCAGTTTCAGATCCTGCCTAGTTAGCATCAATGAAACACGAGAGCCTAGATTGAGGAGTGGCTGTAAAGAATAATCACAAGCCAAGAGAGGTCTTCAAATTTCTCAAAATGTGATGAACTGCATCAAGATGTTCTGCAACAAGGTGCATGCATGAATTGACTAACAACAATAACCACAAATGTCAAGTTAGGTCTAGTGTTGGTCAAATAAATTAGACGCCCAACAAGACAGTGATACATACCTGGGTCCTCTAGCAACTCATCAGACTCTGATGTAAGCTTGACATTGGGATCCATAGGAGTAGAAGTAGGTTTACACCCTAACATGTCAGTATCTTGAAGTAAGTAAGAGTGTACTTTCTCTGAGATATGGAAATCCCCTACCGTGAGTGAGCCACCTCAATTCCAAGAAAATACTTGAGACTCCCCAAATCCTTAATATTAAAGGTGTGTCCCAAATCTCTTTTTACTAGATCAATACCTACAGAATCATCACCTGCGAGAATAATATCATCCACATAAACCAACAAGACTATACACTGACCGGCTGAATTACAACAGATGAACCAAGTATGGTCTGAGTAGCACTGAACAAACCCCATAGAGATGATGACAAACTGAAATGACTAAACCAAGCTCGTGGAGACTGTTTCAAGCCATACAAAGACTTGCACAATCAACACACTATCGGAGAGGCGGCAGGGGAGAGCTAAAAGCGAGGGCGATAAGAGTATACCTGCAATGGGGGAGAAAGGAGTTGAAAGTGGAGAATGAGAAGGGGGGACAACCTCATTTTTAACCTCATCCAAAATAGGAATAGGGTGAACACTAGAAGTAACAGGAGTGGAAGCCTGCAAAGGAGGGTTAGTACCAAAAAATAGGAGATCTTCACAAAAAATAATATCCAAAGCATGGTAGAAGTGATGAGACACAGGATCAAAACACCTATACCCTTTTGACATGAAAGAATACCCCAAAAAGACGTAACGAATAGACGTGTCATCTAACTTCGTACAAGCGGGACTCCAATCTTGAACAAAACAAGTACACCCAAAGACACGGGGTAGGAGAGAAAATAGAGTAGTGTGGGGCATAAGAATATGAAACGAGATAAGACCTTGCAACACACACCCAGGCGTCCTATTAATAAGATAGACAGCAATGAAGACAGACATATACCAATAGGACTTAGGAACACTCATATCACGAAAGAGACACCTCATAACAGACATAGTATGACGATTTTTACATTTAGCAACACTATTTTGCTTAAGAGCCCGTGGACACGTAAGTTGTTGAAGAATACTAGTCTGACAAGGATAGCAACGAAAAGCATTGGAAATATATTCCCCACCATTATCAGAATGGATATTCCTAACAATTGTACGAAACTAAGTCTTAACCTTTTGCAAAAACTGAACAAAAATGGAAAACACGTCAAACTTACAACGGAGCAAATACACCCAAGGGATCAAAAAAGGTGACATAATATCTATGTCCAGAAAAAGCAATAAGAGGAGATGGATCCCAAACATCGGAATGTATAAGGTCAAAAGCACAAAGGGCACGAGCCAAATGAGGTATGTAACTGGTATGAATATGTTTAGATAATTTGTAAGCCACAATATGAAACTTAGAATCTTTACAAGTTTTATTTAATAAAAAAAAAAATTGACATAAATATTGAAAATTGACATGACCTATACGTGCATGTCACAATTCTAAAATTTGAACATTAAAAACACAAGATATAGAAGTAGACAAAATAGATGCTTGAAAACTAATTGAAGTAGAAGGAGGTTGGGCCAATGGATCCCTAAAGTAGTGAAGTCCATTGTGCTCATATCTCCTACCAAAAACCCTCTTCGAACTCAGGTCATGTAATAGACACAAAAGGTAAGAAAATAACAACACAATTGAAGGACTTGGCAAGCCGACTAACAAATAGTAGATTATATGCAAAATTAGAAATATGCAAAACAAAGGATAGAGTAATATTAAGAGATCAAGATACTTGACCCTTATGACGAACTGAGAATAAAAACCCATCAATAAGACAAACATATTTGTCTATAGTAGTAGGAACTGGAGATGAAAGATAAGAAAATTCACCCGTCATATGATTATTAGCCCCAGAATCCAAAACCCATGAGGGACTAGCAGACCGAACATGAAAAATAGTAGAAGTACCTATAGCAAGAGTAGTAGTAGTAGTGGAGGATGATAGGCCAGAATAACTAGTGGTCAAAGTCCCAAGCTGAGTCTGAAGCTAGCCAATCTGAACTTGTAACTGCTGTAAAATAAGAATACTCGAAGACCCAAAAGCATGAGAAGCCTCCACTAAAGCAGCAGTGCAAGGTGTGCCAGATCCAAGAGGGCAAGAATATCGTTGCCTTAACTCAGGATGAAGTTTGAAGAAGCGAGCCTTGACATGACTAAGAGCCCCACAATGATGACAGATAATTGAACTAGTAGAACCCCGAGAACCAAAGTTTGCGTCAAGAGCCATCTAGTCAAATAAGATAGGAGTCACTGGAGCAGTGGCGGGTAGGGATAGCAATTTGAACCCAACCCGACAGGGACCCGCCCCCCCCGAAACCAATTAGAACAGTTTTTCCCCAAAAAATATTCCCGACGGGCTAGGGATGGTATTCGAAAATGAATCCCCGACAATTTTTGGGTTGGGGACGGTGATAGGTTCCCCTGGTCTAGCCCTGGCCTTGGCCCTAGCCCCGACCCCATTCCCGTCCCCGTTTCTGCCCTGCATTGAAATTACTATTATATCCCTCTATATATATATATTTTTGTGTTTCTCTAATGATATTATTTATTTTTTTTTGGTTTTTTTTTTTTTTTGGGAGGGGGGGGTTAGACATTTGAGAATCAGATATTATTTGATGGGTTATTTTGAGAGGATGGGCCCAATGGAATATCTTTGAGAGGTGCCTATTGATTTTAGAAGTTAATTTAGCTAATAATGTTGGTTGTGCATGCTACTTTAAAATTTCACAAGTGGTGTTTTTTTTTTTTTTTTTTTTTTAAGCAAAAGGGGGGGTTGTTTGGAATTTTTTTTTAATTTTTTTTTTATTGTTGTGGTGTGAGTGTTGTTTTGTATCTTGTTTGTCATGTTATTGTTATTTGGATGTTTATGTTTGGAAATTTCTAGATTATGCTTTTATATATATTATTTTTATTTGCCTAAAAAAAAAATGAGGTATGCAAAAAAAAAATTTTTAAAAAGGGTCAGGGATTTTTTGGGGTCGGGGAAACCTGATCCCCATTAGGGGGCGGGGGGGTGATGGGTTCCCTGCCGGGGATCGGGGGCGTGGGCGGGAAATTTTATACCTTCGAGGATCGGGGACAGGGAGTGTAATCTCCAGCCCAGCCCCAGCCCTAACCCCAACCCGAGCCCGTTGCCATTCCTAGTGGTGGGCTGAACCAAACACTGACAATGCTCATCACTATCAATGGTGGCTGGGCAGAGGACTAGGGTTTTTGTGCTTTGGCTCTAATACCAAAAAGGTCGAAAAGAATGACTTGGCTTACCAATGAATGAGGTAGAGGTCATGTACATATAATAGATTCATGATACAATTTAGGAAACGGTATAAACAAGGCACTAAATCAGTGATTGGCACGGTCACAGATTATATACATAATACTAAAAATAAAAAGATTCTATATACTCTAATTACATATTCAACAATCCAAAGTAAAAAGCTAACCATCTTCAGTCAATGAACAATAGCTACTTGCAAAACTGAATGGATTCAGCAACTGGTAACTGGTAAATGATGTAAGACATCAGTTCAAAAAACTACAAATAACTCCTAAATTATGACTGCAATTTTAAAGGGTTGAAGAACTACTTTAGGCTTTGCACATGAAAAGTGGTTGAAATTTACTTAATTTTAAAAACGATTTGTTGCAAGAATTTCTCAACAGCAATTGACTTCAGATGTTGTGTTTGGGAAAGAGGCTTATTAGTTGGGTAAGGGATGAAAAGATTGGTATCCAAAGGTAGGCTTCAAGGTTGAAAAGGCAAAAAAACTATGGCTTGTTTGTTAATACACCTACAAATCCACTTGTGGAGTATTAAAGAAAGAAGGAAAAGAACAAGAGAAGGAAGAATATCTAGAAATCATTCCTGGAAATCCTCGACCGAGGACTAGCTTTGCATCACATAATCCCTAAGTAAATCAATAGCTGCTCAAGAAAATCAGGGATCATCTTTATAGAGTTGAAAGAGAACAAACAGAAAGGTCATTGAAAATTCACTGCTCCTACCTATGGAAGAGTTTGGAACTTTGACCGGCAAAATGCTTTTAAACCTAGCAAAGGCCATATACATACAGCACTAATAACCAATACACCAACAATCAAAATCCACAGGCCAATAGAATGGGTGCAAACCCTTGATATATGGACTCCCAAGATTACCTACCTCAATCCATACCAAAAAAAATACAATAATTAATTAGTAAATAATCACGGTATATAGATAAAGGTAAACTACCAAGATACATACCTATAGAAAACATAAAAAATAGACTTAACTAAATATGAAACTTGACTTTGGAAAGTCATAATGGACACCACCAAAAAATCAATATTCTCTCTCCTCTTCACATTTTGCATTGGTTCAGCACCATACGGCTAGACAAAAGTTCAAGTCTCTATATATGAAGTTTCCCAACATTATAGAGGCTTCTCTACGCCCTTTGCATTAATGTAGTATCAAATTTTTGCTGTAGCAGTATTTTACCCTTTTGTATCAAGTCTATAATTTTTGCTCACTGTCCCACACTTGGAAATTCACAATTCTGTTGTTTCGTATCATTACAATTTCACATTGCCTTTTATCTCATTATGGGTTACTAATACTATCATAGAAGTGATTTCACATTGCCTTATGTCTCATTAAGGGTTACCATCATAGAAGTAATTTCACATTGCCTCATATCTCATTATGGGTTTTATTTTTCCATATTGCTCTGTTTTAGATGATGCAAATTATTTTAAGTTCAAATTTTGGTACTATAGTTATGTACATGTGTCCATCGAAGCCCAAGCTTATGAAGGACAATATGGTCACACGCACAAGGCGTATTGAAGACGAAAATAATAAAATTCCCTCTCACTCTAACAACTTAAGCTTTAGATGAGTAGATGCATAATTTTTGGTTGAGTATGCTATACATACAGAAATTTTATACAGAAAATATATATAGCTAACTGTGTTACTTTCATTTAAAATCACAATGCCCATCATTGTTAACCTAATTTACGAGTATGCGACTGTCGCATCATTATGGAAGCTGATGTTGTATAACAACAATGTTAGGGATCCCTAATATTATTATATACACTCACATTTGTGCTTGTAGGACTAACACCATGCAGTGCGTAGAATATATTGTGTAAAATAGTCAGGACACGTGTTTGGTTCACTGAAATGAGAAATAGGGCATGTTTGGTGTAGCTTATTATAAGCTAAAAGCTGATAATCAAAAGTTAGGAAGCACAGATACGAGATATGGGGATACAGATATGACGATATGCCAAAATCTGAAAAAGTAAGATACGGGTACGGCAAGGATACGTTCGTAAAAAAAATTATATTTTATAATTTTAATAATGTAATATGCATGAAAATAAAACCTAAAGTAAATTAATATATAAATAGAGGGATTCCTATTAAGCTAAGTGTCTTCAAACATTCATAAAAAATCCAAAACTAAAAGCAAAAACAAATGCAAATTAAACATCCTTACATGCCAACATCAAAAAAAGAGAGAGTGAGAGAGTAAGAGAGAAGTGAGAGAGACAATAAGAATTCATCAATTTGACAAATTCTATTACTTTAACTCTCATTATACTCCTCTTATCAAAGAACTAAACAAAGTATTCGAAGTAATATGTGACTTTGAGTATCTGATACTTCAAAATTAATAAAAAATTAATTAAAAAGTATCCAAAACGTGTCTGCAAGTATCCAAAGAGTATCGGTATCTAATAAGTATTCAATACAGATACGTCTCCCTTTTTGAAGTATTCGTGCTTCGTAGACCAAGAGCCAAACGCACCGTCCAGATAATCAGTTCTTTTCAACTTATTTAAATTATTTCTGCCCAATAAACTTGTTTAAATTGTTTCTGCCTAGTAAGCTATCACAAGCCAAAGCTGCACCAAACATAGTCAAAAATTAAAATAAGCTGTAAGTAGCTTATTACCAAACACCCCCATAATGAAATTCCGTAGTCTCTTTTATAGCAATCATTCCCTTATACTCTACTAAGAATGCTTTTTTTTTAATTTAGCGAACCAAATTTTGAAATGAACATTTTACATTTTGATGGAATGGTCATTCCACCCCATTTAATTCGAGTAAGTATTTCTCTTTGTATAATAATTATGGCAGTATATCATTTTTTTTCCTTTTGGTTTGTGATTTCACATTAATTTCCAATGAATTTAGTTTCTCATGACCAAAACATGATTGAAAGAAGAAAAAAATAATGGAAAAATTAAAAATGAGAACCTGTGTCTGGGTGGTGGGGAAGGCTGAGAGAGTCAGTGATGGCCGAAGAAGATTCATCAGTGACATCATGGACTTTAATTGGTAAAACAAAATCGACGGAGACATCGCTAGAACTTGTACTCATCGAAGCTGATAAACTAGGGTTCAAATCATGATTCTCTTTCTCCTCCACCACCGGCATCGGCGTCTCCGCCATCATTATCAGCCTCACCCACTTTGCTTGTACAAAGAGCCAGAAATAGAGAGAGACAACAGAGAGAGAAGATGGTGTGTCGGTAAACTTGAAAGGTGGTTTTGGAATAGGTTCTCTGTTTTCTTAGACAATAAACAATCAGATGGGAAAAGAGGGAAAAGTAACCTCGTCCTGTTTTGATTCCTCAAGATGATGATGATGATGATGTACATAGGCATGGATAGACGGATCGAGAGTATTTGATTTGTTTCCGTTTTTGATCTTCGAGAAAGGGCATAGAGAGAGGATAAACCGTTAGAAGACACGCCTCTAATTTTTCAAAATCCTCACGCCACGTAGCCGTTGGATGGAGGGAGCGAGGGATGGATGGAGAATTATAGAATTAAAAATGGTAGAGATCTAATGGCATGTTTGATTGGAAGGATTAGTACATGGTATTGTGATTATTAATCCGTGAGTTCAATTATTCCATGTTTGTTTTGACATTTGTTTTAGGATTATTAATCCAATAGATAATTAATCCAACAAATTTGTAGGATTATTAGTAATGGGGTAGGGGTGGAATTGTGAATACCACACTAATTTGATAGGATTATTAATACCTCACTATTAGTCTTGTGGAATCAAACATGGCCTAAAAGTTTTATTAAAAATTTTGACAAATGCTTTATATGGTGGTGGGATTTATATCACGTGGAATCAAACATGGCCTAAAAGTTTTATTAAAAATTTTGACAAATGCTTTATATGGTGGTGGGATTTATATCACGTGGGTCTTATATTTATGTGAGAATGAGATATTTGATAAAAAAAATTTTAAAATTTTTAACATTATTTTCATATATTACTCTCATAACGCTTTGAATCATTCAATAAAATATGTTACTTATTCATTTTATCTATCAATCACAATATTAAGATTTCGTTTGCAAAGTTTACTATTTTAATAAGTTATTTTAATTTTTGACTATTTTAATAGGTCAAAAATTTGTGTTTAGAAATATAATTAGATTTTTTTATAGTTAGATGTGATATTTATAAGAGAAAAATAAAATAATTATGAATTTGATATGATATTTTATCGTACTTATTGTTTTAATTTATTTTATCTTTTTTGTGAATTTTAACTAACTTAAAAAAAAAAACTTTACCAAACAAGGAGTACTATGTGAGTGTTTGAAAAGTTGTTATTTTATTAAGTTATTTTAATTTTTGACTATTTTAATATGCTAAAATTTTTATATTTAAAAAGATAGTTAATTTTTTTTGTAATTAGATGTGATATTTGTAAGAGAAAAAATAAAATAATTATAAATTTAATGTTATATTTTATCTTATTAATTATTTTAACATATTTTATAATTTTATCCAAAAAAAAAAAAAATCTAACTTGCCAAACCCCCTATATGTCGGTATAGCAAGACTATTGAATAATCACCCGGAATGGATCGGGCGCGCTTGCTTTATGCCGACACAATTCCATCACAAGGGTTTGTTTGGTGTAACGTAAATTAAAAATTATGATAAATTGCACTCCACTCCTTCTCAGTTTTGAAATTTTTTTTACTGTGTTTGGTTTGGGTTTTCTAAAAATACTTTTTAAAAAATTATATTTTCTTATTTTTCGTATTTTTTATTGAATTTTTTTAATATTTTAAGTAATTTTTTAATGGGTATTACATTAACACCCTCCAGGTTTGGTTTGATTACTACCCACCCCTTGACGTTTTGGAAATTATATTTCCACTTCTGTGGTTAATAGTCTCATTTCACAAACCCCCTTACTTATATAAAAGGTAACAACTCTTGATAGAAAAATAGAGGAAATTACATTAAAAAAAAAATAAAGGAAAGGGGGAAAAAAAAAAAAGTAAAGCAAAGCAAAAAAAAAGAGAGTACATGAGTTCAATGTCTTCATTCCGTCTAAATAATTACAATAACAGGGGGGTTAGTGTAATTTCCTAAACGTCAAGGGGTGATATGTATTAAATCCAAACCTCAGGGGGTGTAAGTGTAATTTATCCTTTTTAAATTTTTAGACACACATAACATAAATACACTTAAAAAGTATAATTTTTATGAAAAAAATCTTTAAAAAATTACTAAATACAAAAATTCAGTATATTTTTCGTATTTTTGTGTATTTATTAATTTTTTGAAATATTTTTTCACAAATATTTTATTTTTTAGATATAACTAAGTAAGGTGCATCTAAAAAAGTTTTTAAAAAAATTAAAATTTAAAAAAAAATTTACTAAAAACAAAAAAAAAATGAAAAACAAAAAACTTAGGGTGTGTTTAGTTTGGTTTTGGGAGATAAATTTTCAAAAAAAATCTTGGAGAAAGAGTTTAGAAATTTTTTGAATTTGTTTGCTTGTATATTTTGGAAATAGTTTTGGAATGTGGGAGTTTTGGATGATTTTATATTTTGTTATAGTTGAGTAGATATGTGTAAGAGAAAAGTGATTAAGAATGAGAGAAAAGAGAGAAAAAGTAATTGATTAATGTGTAAGAGATTGAAAGTGATTTTGGAATTTTTTTTTTCCAAAATCACTAAACCAAACAAAATTTTAGAAAAATTTATTTCTCAAAAATAAACCAAACAAGACCTCAGTTTTTAGAAAACTAAATTCAAAAAGCTGAAACCAAACACATTGGTTAATTTTACACTTTTGATATAATTATATTAATTTTTTTAATAGTTAGATCATTTTTATTAATAATTTATTAGTTATATAAATAAAAAAAATAATGTTGTTATATTTTCTTATTAAAACATGTATTTAGTTTTGTTTATTTCAGTGTCTATTCACAATTAACATTAGTTTTGATTTTTAACCATAGTAAAAGGAAGATTAGAATAATTATGTCAAAAGGAGGGAACAGTTTGCGTGGATTCCAGAATTAGTTAAGGTGCGCGTAAGCTAGTCCTTACACTCAGTCATAAAAAATTTATAGCTAAATTCATTTTACTCCCTTATGATTTGAGACTAAAGCACTTTACCTCCCTATCGTTCAAATATAGTAAAAACACCTTCATATAGTTTTGAACTAAAGTGCTACAATTAGTTTTTTCATCTAAACTAACGAAAAGTGTATTACACACACAATTTTTTAGAGTGAGTTTTGTTTTATAAAAAATTAGAATTAAATTAATACAACAAAAAGATAGTTTTACCTTCATTTTCTCCAAATCTAAAATTAGATTAATATGTTAATTAAAATACAATTAAGGGTTAATTACACTTTACCTCCCTATAGTTTGGCTCAAAGACACATTACCTCCCTGTAGTTTAAAAATATACACAAATTCTGAATTGATTTAAAATGTAATTAAATTAAAATTAGATTAATATGTAAAAAATTATAATAAATAATTAAGAATTTACGATTGATTGTGATCTAAAATATAATTAAATTAAATTAGATTAAAAAGTTAGTAATTACATCAAAAAGTTAAATATTTAGGATTAATCGTGATATGAAATATAATTAAATTAATATTAGAATAGAAATTTAAGAATTTATAATTAGTTGTGATTTAATTGAATTAATATTAGACATTATAAATTATGTGTATATATAAGAAATGAGAGAGAAAGAGAATAACAAAAAATATAAGATTTGAGTGTAATATAGTCATTTCGCATCTATATTTAGGAGAAATTATATTTTCACACATCTAATTAGCTCAGGGCACACACTTAATGAAATATTAATTTAATGACAATTATATTATAAATAAAAATGATCATAATAGACATCCAGCAACATTCATAATATTATATAGAAAAATTCTCTATACACATCTTTTAAGAATAAAAAAATCTCAATATACACCTTTTAAGTTAAAAAAAAAAATAAACCCTAATTTCTTCATTAGTTCTCTATTGATTATATCATTTTGTCAATAGAATCTATCATAATTCTTAATTTTTGTAATGAAAGAGTTGCAAATCAATAGAAATTTAAACTCAAATAATAATAAACAAAAGCAGGTATGAAAAAGGAAGTTTTTTTGTGCAATTTTTTTTTTTCACGATTTTAATTTGGTAAACCAATGCCGAAACATGTTACTTTTTTCAGATATCAACTGTCAAAATTATTAATTCTATTTGAAATTCAAGTTCTGAATTTGGATTCGGAACTCAACTTTTGAATTTAAGAATTTATTTAAGAAACCAAGTTCCAATTTTTTTTTACATATTTCGAAAGTTAAAAATTGAATAAACCTTTTTCATTCGAATAACCAATACCGAATAAGCAAAATCGAATTGCTTAAAAAAAAAAAAAAGAGTATGAAAAATAAGATATAGATGGAGTTGTACGTCTTCAATGGAGTTTGATACAAAACGATATTATTTCAAGATCTATATTGATACAAGTCGATGCCAATTAATGACTTTTTCGATGTTGACTAGATTTTTGATTGAAAGAATTAGTTTGATGATGTAACTGGAAATCAAATGAGGTAATTTGCTATATAATTTGAAGATTCATGGCACGATTTGCTGAGAGATTTTCTTGTGAAAGATGTTGCTATGTTTTCAAGATGGGTGCAATAAAAAATGGGGCTACACCACTGATTCTCTGTGGAACAAATAGTTTAAGTTGTGTGTGTACAGGGATGTTAGTTTAGGGTATAATTGGAACATGTGAGTTGTGGACTGTGAACAAAAACATAAACCTAATTTCATAAGAGTATGCATTGAGAAATTATGTACACAGAGATAAAAGTATGTGTGGAAATAAATTTTTCCTATATTTAAAGGTGTAATGGTTGCATTTTAGTCTAAAATTACATGGAGGGCATATGGTTATTTTTAAAAGACAGTGAGGTAAAGTGCTATCAAGCCATACTAGAGGGAACTAAAATAGATTTTGCTTAAAAATTTATATTTATATTTGTTAATATTTTAAAATAAAAAATATTTAAAAAGATAATTTTAATGAAAAATATCATACATGTCAATTATGACACATTTAGTCCTGTTGATAATTTTTTAACTATTTCTTTCTGATGTAAAATGAAATTATTGTCACTAATTCAAATGGTAACACCTAAATAACATAAAGCAAATGATATATTCGTTCACTTTTTAATTGATTGTCATATCATTAAACTTAAATATTAGGTCTAATTTTTGAACTTGTATACAATACCCATAACATAAAAATTATCTTTCAAATGGTTGGAAAAAAAATAAAAGATTCCAAAGACAATCTCAAGATTGTGTGCTATATTTCATAAAGAAAATGATTTTTAAAAAAATCAAAAACTGTTCCAAGAATAATCCAATATGGTTTCTGTAGCTTTAAATCTGAACTTGACTATGATGTCCAAGTCCATAAAATTA